GCGCCCCTACTCAATATACCGGTTCTTACTCGCAAACTCGAGACATTCAGAACGGTTTCAGCGGCGGATACCAGCACCCCAATGGCTTTGAGGGACCCAGTAACCATCGAGGCCGGTTCAACATGCCGTCCCGCCCTGGCACTGCCATGGGCCACCGCGGCTCGTTCCGTCCCAATGCTCCTGAGTTCCACCCGGGCATGTATGGCAACGCAGACAACAGTGGCTTCCACAATGATACGTCCTACAACATGAGCTACGGCCCAGGATCCAATGCTGGTTCTCGCCACAACTTCAACGGAGGCAGCACTCCTTTCCGAAGCCCGACTCCTCGCTCCGCTGGTCATTACGGCAACTTTGAAGGACCCGGTGGTGGCTTTCCTCGCCCGCCTCCTCTGGTTCCTTCGGGACGTCAAGTCTCCCATGGTTCCCAGTACGGCATGGGCTCGAGCCACATGGGCTACAGCAACGACTACTCGATGGTTCCACAGCGCACTCGTAGCCACGGCCCCAACTCGTCCGGCAACAGCCACCATACGGCTAACATCCGTCAGCAAGGAGCTTTCAGTCCCGGTCCCTTTGGCCAGGGTGGCCATGGCCCCAGCCATGCAGTCACCAGTCCATTGGCTCCCGGCAACGGCTTCAGTGAGGATGAAGGCGGCGACAATGAGCGCTATGCTCGTGCTCTTGAGGGCGTTTGGGGTCTCGCGCGGGGCTAGGTGCTCCAGTTTGCCTCGAACGTTGACCTTAGCATTCTGTCGCGCTCCAACGATGTTGCCATCCTTCGTTACATGATGAAGCTCTATGCTCCCTTCAGCGAGCAGCAGGCGTGGTCTTACATTCGTCAGCACATGAACGACCCCATGAGCCGTGCTTGTCTCATCTCTCGTACCATGATCGATCTTCTTATCAATCGGATCTTCACTTTCGAGGCCTGGGAGGGTTTCTCTGTTGATGCTGATCGCCAGCTGCGTGAGATTCGCCACGAGATGAACAATCTCCCTGGTAAGTTGTATCTGACACGTCGCTCAATGCAAGAATATGACTAACTTAAACAGCGGGTCAAGGTGGTGCCCTTCAGCTGTGTATTGATCGAGTTGCGTCCCTGGTTAACTCTTGCATCAACCATGAGCGCTACGACGCCTACCGCAACCACCGGATCGAGTACTTCCAGGCTGAGCTCCGCGAGATGCTCTCGCCGCTCTTGCTGCCCGAGTCTGAAGGCGGTCCCGACCTCGAGAGGGCCGACGAGGCGCTTTGCCAGATGTGCGAGAAGGCATGGTCCATCTCGGCGAAGATGTTTACCTCGCGATGGACTTTCGAGTTCCGCTTTCCCGATACGGGAGCGCGCTTCAACACTGGAACCATGGTTGGAATCTCGCCCAACATTGGTCCGCAGCTTCTCCAGGCTGAGCATTGGCGCGTGCAGCTTGTGGTTACCCCCGTCATCACCGTCCGCAATGATACGGGTACTTCCATCTCAGTTGCCTCAATCACCAGCGCTCACGTCATCTGCATGAAGTAGTCGGTGGCTTTACGCCAGACCAACTTCGCTGCATTTCACTCTGCGTGCTTTCTTCACCAATGAAGCTTTCTCTATATAACGAGGAAGCTGCTGTACGACTTACGACTCACGACACGTTTGCGATTCTGCTTTCTCCCGGTTTCTTCCTGAAGCTCTCCAACAGTAATCATGAAAAGACCAAACAAGAGCGGTACTCTCAACTCCGCCAAAGTTGCCTTTCGAGAGCTTTCATACAGAGCCATCATCGTCACCATCACTATTATCAGCAAGGCTCTCACCGACACTGAGAAAGCAGTGCCACCAACAGGCAAGGTTCTCAACACGAAGAGAACAGTGCCACCGTCACCAGTACAGCACTGAACGCGGTCCATGAGACCAAAGAAGACGACAAAAAGCCTTAATGATCTTTGGGAATTCACAACTTGGACTTCTTCTCCCTCTTAACATGTTGGAGTATTTGGACATGCGCCCCCGACTCCTTCAGCTCCATTGGAACCAACTTGCGAGAGACCTTTGGAACATCTCGCAAAATTGGGAATGGATACGCAGAAATTGGGTTCGGGATTGGCAGTTGCGACAAAAAACAACAAAATCACCAAAAAAAATCATTTGCTTTTTTCTTTCTTTGCTTTTTGTTTCTAGGGGGGATTCCCTTGGCTAGCTACACTGGTCACTGAAGTTTTCTAGCTAAATTTCGAGGAAAGATGTGTTGCGGCCGAGGGACTGGATCTGGCTCAGAGAAAATTGGCGATAGAAAAGTACCAAAAAAAATCGTAAAAGTCTTGTAAAAACCTTGGTTCTCGAAATGATGGTGACAAGGTAAAAGTGAATAAGGCCTCTGCGTGAGTGAACTATGCAGAGCCTCAACATTGTGACTATCGCTGCCGTAGTAGGTTTATCGCACTACAATGCTGCATTTCAAAGTAAGCGACATGGAGATTTGGTTTTCACCCCAGCTATCAAATCACTAGCAATCTGAGACAAATCTTGGTATGTTGCGATAATTCATTCATTGTAACACGCTCTACTGGCGTATTGGTCTGTTCGGCATCAACTGTGCCATCTTCGTGTATACGTTCAAGCAATGAAGACTAGGGTATTCAATCTTCATCTGTCGTGAGTCGTCCGTTTCCAACTCCATCCAATCCTCTATCCTAGGAACCACTCTATAACGTCTAGTCAGACGACTTGCGGAACTTGTTAACGACACGCTCAATACCGTCGCATCCCTTCTTTAGGGTCTCCATCTTGGGGCCGTAGGAGAAACGGACGAAGTGGTGGCAAGGGCTGTCGAAGAGATCACGGCGTCTGGAGGGGTTCAGGTCGAAGAAGATGCCAGGCACGACGATGACCTTCTCCTCAAGACAGGCCTGGAAGAAGTTGAGACCGTCGGCAATGGCCTCAGGGAGACCCTCAAGGTTGAGCCAGCTGGTGGATGTCAGTCTTGGCGCTTGACTTTGTCTCTTTCAACGACAGCAACTTACAGGTAGAAAGTGGAGTCGGGGACGTATTTAATGATGAATCCCATTTCGCGGAGTCTGCGAACGACGTAGTCACGCTTGTCCTACTCACTTTATTAGGAAATTCCAAACTCGAAGCCGCTCGCTCAATCGACTTACGCGGAAGTGCTTTTGCAAGGAGATCATCTCCGTCTTGACGAGAGTAGGGTCAAGCATGGGGATTGCCGCCTCCTGGAAGGGGTGGTTGGCACCACCGTCAAGGTAGCTGCCGCAAGAGCCAATGCTAAAGTTGTGTCAGTGTCTCAGTCCCCCGGTTCAATCTCATGGCCACCATTAGGTACACATGTGGAGGAAAAACTCACGCCTTGATGTATTCTGCAAGCCATGTTAGCAAGTGGTTCATTAAATTTATAGATATCAATCACATACCCTTGGGACCAAGGATCCACGCAACACGCCAGCCGGGCAGTCTGAAGCGCTTGGTCAAGCCGTCGATGATGAGAACATCGTCTTCATCGACGTCCTCGACGTTCTCAGCAGCAGAGATGGTACTGCCGTCACAGTTGCTCGTATAGTTGTAGCCGGAGTAGAACTCGTCGCTGACGAAGGTGGCGCGGCCACGGCAAATATCCTGGATCTCGGCCAACTCGGGGTTGGCAACGACACGGCCGGTGGGGTTGCGGGGGTTCGAGGTCAGAATGACAGAAGAACCACGGGAGATCTCCTCAGCGATGCGGTCAGGGTGGATGTGGTAGCCGTCCTCCTCAGCGAGAGGGACAGGGATGGCGGAGAACTAAATACTCAGTGTCAGATGCTGTACATTCTTTCATGCTTCAAACTCAGAAATAGAGACATACGTTCTTGAAGAGAGACAGCATCTCGTTGTACGCCGTGTAATCGGGCAAGAAGAAAGAGAGGTAAGAGTTCCCGAGAACGGCAGCGATACGAATCAGACCGGCGCGACCACCAGGGACGATTGCGACGTTCTCCCAAGTGTACTTGCTATCCTTGCCCTCGCGGTGCATTACGTTGTAGAGGTTGGCAACAGCCTCGCGGAGTTCTCTGATACCGGCTGTAGGGCCATACTCGCGACCGGCCATGGAGATATCGATAGTGGTGGGACGGGGAAAGCAGCCAGCAATATCATCCTCAACTTCGGGGGCACCCTGGCCCAAGTTGGCCCAAGCATCGGGCTCCTCGAGAAAACCGTACTCGGAGGCACGCTCAGTACACCAAACGACACCGGTGGAGGCACGGCTAGCATCGAGACCGGCGTGGGGCTGGTGGCCTTCGTGGGCATTACGGAACTGTCTGTGAGTCTTTGACTGGACCTCTGATGGAATATGTTAGCATTAGTTTTTTTCTTGAGGTGAAGTTATCATGGCCAATGGCGCCGATCAAAAAGCCAAGAATGACATCGAGCTTGAGTTGGAGCTGTGTGGAGAACGAGGGGCAACTCTGCTCAGCTCCTACCCCGCACTCAACACCAGAGCTCGACAACAAGCTTTTCTCCCATCCTTTGTGCGTATCTGTATAACTTGGTTGAAGCCACGACAAGTCGAGCAGATAGGTATTGCTTGGACAACTGAATGGAATTTGTATAGAAATGAGGAAAGGGAGGTTTTCGTTCTTACCATTGCCTCCAACCTCGCCGACACTGAAGCGTCTTGGCTTGGGCACACCGGTGTGCCGGTTGATGGAGAACTTGCGATTGCTGAACATATTGCCTTGTTGCACGCAGCTGACGAATGTGTGTGGGCTTTGTTGTGGAAGTGACGGTGGGAGATATTAGCAGCTGCGTACTGGGAGCTGCAAATGAAAGGGGGAAAGAGTTTAATGGTCGGTGAAAGAGGTTTCTCCGATATCACCTGGCTGGAGCAAAATCTGGGGAAGGTGAGGAGGGAAGAGTGCAGGTGCGGGAAGGGTGAAGCTAAAAACAAAAGGGGGCAGAAAGGGCTGCCTCACCTTGAAAAGGTGAGGCAGCGAGGGGCACAAAAAACATCTTATACGGGGAAGCTATGAGCTGGAAGGCTTCTCTTCACCGGCACTTGGGTCCTGACGTTGGCTTGGGAATCCCTGCAGGTCAAGAATGCAGCTCCATGCAGGCTCTTCCAGGTGTGGAGATTTCAGAATGCGATAGCGACGCTGATAGGCCGGGGAACCGATTTCTTCCTTCTTGAAGATGAACGTGGGACTGTCACTTGACGAAGTTGAGCGGATGGTTACCGAGTCTCGCAGGGCGACGGGGGTCAAAAACAGGTCCTGAAAGGATAGTAACAGCAAACAGTGTTTGGGTCTACAGCCAGAGCCAGTCTCAGTCTAGTCCGCGCCGAATCCGTGCCGCTTGTGCCGTCTTCAGGCCAGAACCAAACGAGTCCTGAATCGTCGATCTGTCATTAGGGGCAGGTTCGGTGATGAGAGTGAACGCAGCGCAGACGACATTACAATGTTTCGCAAGGGCACTTCTTATCGAGAAACGCAACGCCAGCGCGTTTCTGTGCCCGAAAGTTGCCCCTCCTCTGCCCCTCGTTCTCCCTCGCCAACGTCAACGATTCGGGTTGGTACCACGACAGTACGTAAAAAAAGCGGTGTCTAGAGTCAGTGTCCTGCTCCAAAGCGGATTTCCGCATCACGGCCTGCCCCGTACCCAGTTGCGAATGCGATTCGTGCCCAATCACTGCAGGTAGCCGTCTCCCGTCCCGGATTGAGGGCCGCGAGGGCCTAACTTCTGGGGGGGGAATCGGCCCTCGCCAGACCTTCTCCAGAGTCTAGCAAGGGGCAGGATATCTCGATTTATCGTGAGTATCAAGTCATCAACGGCACACAAAGTGGATATTGCACAGCTTTCTGCGTTGCTGAACGCTCGGCCCAACCATGTAAGATAAGCCTGGCAACCTAGGGCGGGTCCCGAACGTGACTTGCCGGGACATTCAGGGCGTTTGTGTTGTCGTCGTGGGCCGGCGCACCCGATCATCGAATTTGATAGGTTTTCTAGGCCAGAGAGCAATGGAAATATCTGAAGAAGCCAACCAGCAGAATCATTTGGTTACCTACGGCCAACAGATTGAGCCACCTCATATGGATGCATGGTCAATCAGCCATGACGCATCTGGGGGAGAGCATAACCCCAGCATTCATCACCTCGAGAGTCGAGAACGGCAGTGACAGAGACTCACGAAACCGGCGACGGCGAGTACATAGTTCGCTGGGTCCCGTGTACCGAGACCTTAGCGTCACCTTGACCCCGTTCGTCGCGGCCCCTGGGAGAGACGGAAGACGGCCGAAGATGCAGGCCGGCCGAAAACAGTCAATAGGATCACGTGATTCGTTGTCTTCTCTTTCCCCGCCAAGCCACGATGCGATCCCAGAAACCCGGGTGGACAAATTATGACGCTTCATGTTTGGCATTGTTCAGATCCGAGGCATCCAGGGACTCAGTTCCTCCATTTTTCCAAAGGGGCGAACCACGTGTTGGCTATCAGGCGCACTTTCTTCAAGCCTGAGCACCAAGGAGAAGGCGGTGCATGGCGGTGCAAAAAAAGCCTATGTGGCTGCGGCGAGCCTCTTGGCCAATCAGACTGCGTTTGTGACTTCACCCAATAAGCCCCTCAGCGGTCACGAGCAATGCCCCCGAGGAGGCTCAAAGATCATAATCTCTCAAAGACAAACTAGTCAGAGCGATAATTCAACTTCAGACTCAGGCAGAATGACCAGGCAGATTACTTTGTCAAGGCTCTGAGAGCTTTGATAAGAGGCGATGAGTAGAACCAATATAAGATGACTGGTCTGAAGTAACTGAGCATACCCTTGAAACCCATACCATTAACAGTAACAACAACAACAACAAAGACTTGAGCAGTATCAACTCACCTGACAACTTGATATTACACCTTTGTGGCCCATACTATTGATTGAGTAGCGTTTCCCATCAAGTCAAACTTTCGGAGCTTTCTTTTTACCGCAAACTTTCCTTCGAGAAAGAACAGCCACATACATCGCCTTCCCCGACGGCTCCAGCCCCACTTTGACATTTATATCAACTTCACTGCGGCAGCAGCAATCCTCCTTCACAATGCCTTACCTCGGCGATTCTTTCTCCTCCACAAACCCTTACTCCGCCAGCGAGAAACCCGAGATCAGCATGTCTATCTTCGGGGCCTTCAAGCAGAAGCTTGGCCGCAAGTCATCATCTTCTCGCAAGTCCAAGCAGGCATCCCAGTCGAACATGACGACACCCGGCAGCAACAACCCCTTTTCAAGCCCTGCAGTCAAACCCGCCCATCGTGAGTCTTTACCCTACACCATCGTTACTCCTCCGTCTTAGACCAAAAGCGCTAATAAGCCTTCAGCCCCCGACCATGCTCCTCCAGCTTACTCGGTAACACCACCTTCTCCATCAGAGAATGGCTACCTGGGAAGCAATGGCGGACCTGTTAGAAGCCCCTCGCCAGCCCCATCCAACGCCGGTTCCATCATGTCAAGCACCGGCATGAGCGTTTCGACCCCAGAGGACCCCTACGCATTCCTTTCCTCATTCGACACCATCTTTGTTATTGACGATTCGGGGTCCATGTCCGGCCGCTCATGGCCTGAGGTCCAGGGTGTAATCCGCAACATCGCCCCGATCTGCACATCGCATGACGAGGACGGAGTTGACCTCTACTTCCTCAACCACAAGACCCAGGCAGGTGGAAATCCTCGTGAGGGTAAAGCCGCGGGTGGCTACTACGGCATTCGTCGTGCCGATACGGTCGAGGGCATCTTCACGTCGGTTCGTCCTCGCGGCTGCACGCCTACGGGCCAGCGCCTCCTGGCCATCCTCAAGCCTTATCTTCAGCTCCTCGAGACCAAGAAGAACGACATCGAGAGCGTCAAGCCCATCAACCTCATTGTCATCACTGACGGCGCCCCCTCCGATGACGTCGAGGCCACCATCCTCTATGCAGCCAAGAAGCTCGACAAGCTCGACGCTCCCATGCATCAGGTCGGTGTGCAATTCTTCCAGGTTGGAAATGAGCCTGGTGCCCGCGAGGCGCTCCGAGAGCTCGACGACGACCTCGTCGGCAGATGCGATGGCGATCTTCGAGACATGGTTGACACTGTTACCTGGGAGAACGGTACCCGCGGCGTGCTCACGGCAGACAATATCCTCAAGGTCGTTCTCGGTGCGGTGGTCAGACGTCTCGACCGTCGTCGTACAAGTGGCGAAAGCCGTCGCTAAGAATGGCCAGCTGCATGCCTTTCTCTCCTTTGTTAGTGATTTCGGGCATCAATGGCGTTCAGGAGGATAGAATCAGTTTCCAGGCCCTCTCACGAGGGCAGTTTATGGCTCAAGCCAATACCTGATACCCAACGGAAGGCTCTCTGAATTAGGTCTTTGTTAGAGGCGGGCCATAAGCCCTAGACGGAGGTGGTATGGCTCACGCCATCGGAAGAGGTTCATGTACCACCTTCCCCTTCAGTGAAAAATAAAGTAATAAACATAGACAAAATGTTTCCTTTCAATGAAACGTAGCCAAATTGCAATATTCGTCTGTGTGCGTGGGGGGATGTGACCAAGTTACGATGTGTAGGCCGGTACGCCCGCAAGTGTATGACAGAATAACACACGGCTGATGTATCCTCACTCACATTCTTTACCACCATATTTCAAGCCAAAAAAAAATTTTGCTTAGAAAAATGCCAGCTACTACGAGATAGTACGGTAATGGCGATAGAGAAAAGAATGCATAGAGCGGCAGACGATTTTACCATGCAATTTGGTGGTTTGGACTGCTTGAATGATTAAACAGGACAAAAGAGAAGGAAGAAGGTCGACCGGGTCTGGAAATTACTAGCAGATACTTTTGGCAACTCCAACGCCAAGCGGGGGACCCACCTCACTCTCACTTTGAATATCGTCAATAAACTCACCACAACTCACCAACGAACCCTCCCAAATTTCGAACGCCCCCCAACCTCGGTTTTCAAAGGCTCAAACCCTCGCTGCAATTACCATACCAGAAACGAAACCATTTACGCAAGACATTACCCAAATGAGACCACCGTTCGGCTACATCCCACGTCTATACGCGCCTCTCCGACTCTCAACCCGCCAATCATTCGGACCGTCACCCGCGCTGACCGCCGCCGCCATCGCCACCGCGACGACGTCGACGAGGAGGTTGACGTTCGAGAGCAGGATGAGCACATCATCGGGCCCTCAGTCTACGACAATGTGGTCGGCTGCAGGACAAGGTGAGGGTGAAGAAGAGAGGAAACTGAACGGCGGCGATGGTACCGGTAGCCACCGAGAGCACCACCCCACGGAAAGCACGTCACCGGCCCCTAAAAAAACGACATCAAACCCCCCCGCGGAGGCCAGTCCCAACACCAGTGGCGCCGACTCTAGCCAGTGCCAGCCTCACTCCCAGGGCGACGATCAGGGCCTCGCTGGTGCTCAGCGGCGGGATGGACCCCTGGCTTTGCCGCCGCTGCCCGAGGGCTACGGGACGTCTTCTGCTGTTGGCGGGAACTCCGCGGGAGGAGGAGTGGGAGGAGGAGACAACAATAACAAGGGCGTCAGCAGCAGCAGCGGAAGCAACACCATCACGCTGGACATGAGCGGCGGCGACGCCTCGACCAGGCTGGACCACCTCGGCCCCCTGGTCGTCAACCAGGACGGCACCATGTCGCGAATCAGCAACTGGGGCGAGATGACGGAAATTGAGAGGCGCAACACGCTGAGGATCTTGGGTAAGAGGAACCAGCTTCGACTTGCTACGCTCAGGGGGGAGAAGGAGAAGAACGGGGCCGAGGCTGGAAAGTGAGGATTGGGAAGAGAGACAGAAAAAAACTCACCTTAGAGACACTCCCCCCTTTTTTCCTGTCTCTTCACCCACGACTGTCACGAAGTACCTCTCGGTGAGACTCATCTCATTCGGAGAGACTCGTGAGAAGGCCTGGAAAGAGTTTGTCAAAGATATTGTATGATTAAGTGGATGTGCTATGGTAGTTCCCAATAGCAAGAGGATCCCCATCTCTCCCCCGACTCCCCCCTCTTGACTCCGTTAGAGTATCGACGAGGGTTCGGATGGTAAGGCCGAGTGGTTGCGTAAAACCACTGCACAGTTACCAGCATCAAAGAAATGAATCGTCTCCATTCGACCCAAAAAGTCTGCATCCTGTCTTGTTCTACCGTGCCATCCTCGTCCTCCAACCTGGTTCTGAGCCTGGCCGCCCACGCCGCGCCCGCCCCTTGGGCCTAGATAGACAGGATTTTCCGTTTCGCCATCGTCAGCCCTCGCTCTGTCCTATCCCATGCCTTATGATCCGTCTTACTCTCTCTGAACCCAGCCCACCACATTCCGGAGAGGGCATGTCGTTATGGATTAGCGGGTTCCGAGTTTTTCATCGTTCTCTGGAGACTGGAGTCTAGAGTCCGATCCATGGGACAGATGGGGTCACCGTACCTGTAACAAGCCGCGAATGTTCGGATCCCCGTTCCAGCCTACCTACTAAACCTCCCATGGGCGAGACATGGCGCTACGTACCTCCTCAAGACTGACTCTGGGCCCTAGACAAGGGCCCGCGAGTCTGTGGCGTACTTGGCCATCAGTTCTTACTCTTTTCTTGTCAATGGGGCATGTCGGCGGTGAAGTGGAGAGGCGCGGGGGTCACCAGTGAACACGAACGTAGAGCCGAGCAGCGGCTCTTTCTCTCCCGATCCATCCATGGGCATAAGAGCAGGTGAGGCCAGGGGATGCCTGTGCTGGCTTGGGGTGGTTGAACTCTACCTGATGGGGACCGCGGGAGCACGCCTTCGAGTTGCGAGATGATGAGACCTTCTAACTTGACTCTATCCTGAGCACACACGCTGGGGGAGGGAACAAGGGCTTTAGGAGTTTTGGTTGAACAAAGAATAATTTAGAGTTGACTTTAGTCAATAGCTTTAGGGTCGATAAACCCATCCGTATAATTCATTGCTGTGATATACTCTATCACGTCCCAGATCATGAGTTCGTGCAGGTATACATACATGTAAAAATCTCATCACATGTTGCCAATCAGTAAAAACAAGCCGCTCAATAGTACCGCCCGTTCATCTCCCCTCCAACCCCCCCCCCCCCTATCACGACTCCCATCCCACAGCATGTCTCTTCGTCCCTCCACGGTATCAAACTCCA